AAGTTTTTTTTATATTTCATTTAACATTTATTGTTTTTTCAAGGAAATATTACTTATTCTTATTTCATACGTATTCAATATAGCTGAGGCTTTTTTAAAACACAGTTATGAATAACTAGATTTTACTATCCTTTTTTATTAATTTTTATTTTTGAATTGTCCGTTTTTAATTTAATTAATTAATTAAATTTAATTTGTAGTAATTTTGTATATTTTTGTCTTTTTTAGTTATTTTATTATTATTTTTTTTATATATTTCTAGCTTTTTTTATCTGAAATTAAAAAAAATTATAAATGTTTAAGTTTTTTATATTTCATTTAACATTTATTGTTTTTTCAAGGAAATATTACTTATTCTTATTTCATACTTATTCAATATAGCTGAGGCTTTTTTAAAACACAGTTATGAATAACTAGATTTTACTATCCTTCTTTTTTTAATTAATTTTTATTTTTGAATTGTCCGTTTTTAATTAAATTAATTAACTAAAAAAGACAAAAATATACAAAATTACTACAAATTAAATTTAATTAATTAATTAAATTAAAAACGGACAATTCAAAAATAAAAATTAATAAAAAAGGATAGTAAAATCTAGTTATTCATAACTGTGTTTTAAAAAAGCCTCAGCTATATTGAATACGTATGAAATAAGAATAAGTAATATTTCCTTGAAAAAACAATAAATGTTAAATGAAATATAAAAAACTTAAACATTTATAATTTTTTTTAATTTCAGATAAAAAAAGCTAGAAATATATAAAAAAAATAATAATAAAATAACTAAAAAAGACAAAAATATACAAAATTACTACAAATTAAATGTAATTATTTTATTATTATTTATTTTTTTATATTTCTAGCTTTTTTATCTGAAATAAAACATTTTTATAAATTTTTACGTTTTTTATATTTCATTTAACGTTTATTGTTTTTTCAAGGAAATATTACTTATTCTTATTTCATACTTATTCAATATAGCTGAGGCTTTTTTAAAACACAGTTAGGAATAACTAGATTTTACTATCCTTCTTTTTTATACATTTTTATTTTTGAATTGTCTGTTTTTAATTAAATTAATTAATTATATTTAATTTTAAATTTAGTTTTAGTAATTTTGTGTATTTTTTGTCTTTTTTGTAGTTTTTTTTTTTATATATATATATATTTCTAGATTTTTTATTTTTCAGTTTTAGTTCTTTTAATACATCCAACTAAATGAAAATGAGAAATTTTGCTTTGGCAACTTGCCAATATAAAATAAGTATTTTTAAATATTATATTCAATTTCAGTAACATTTATTTCAAGTAGTGCAAATGTTTTTTAATGGTTTTAGTTGTAGTTCACTATAATAAACTTGTAGTTTGTAGTAAACTTGTCCAGTGTAATTGAGGCCATTGCCATTTTTTTTTAAATCCAGTTATGAAAAACTGGAATAGACACGGAAAGTTTTTCAGAAACAAAAAGCAGCTTGCTTTTTTTATGATGCTGTTTATTTTACTCATTGTGCATTGAATATGCAGAGCATGCGTCCCCCAGGTCCCACAAAGTCATTCATTTATTATTTGCTGAAATCACGTGACAGCATAATGAATTTTCATTACATAATTCCTTATTGATTACTCTGAACACACGACAAATCTGAGAGAATATTAGGAGAGTGTTTAATGATGCCTTTTAATGCGTTTTAAAAAATGACAGAACTGGGATATTCTGGCAGATACATGAATACCCGAATTAAAATGTCACCGAGCGTTCCCGTTAAATGCATATAGATGAAGAAGGGAACGCATTAGGAGTATCTGTTCATATTTCAGTCTGTGTGGAGGATTAGACACAGATAAGTGCTGATAGACGCCACTTTAAGTGAATGCTGTTATATTGGATAGGATAGTGTTTTGCACTGTTCTCATGAATCTTCTGGTGAGATCATGTGTGAATAGGTATGTTTCCTGTAATGTGAGGTCCACCATAGTGGTGTTAAAGATATAGTTCACCCAAAGATAGAAATTCTGTCCCTTAAGTCGTTCCATACCTGTGTAACACAGAAGAATGTACATACAACATACAGTTCAACATACAGTGGCTGTTAAGAGTGGACGATAGAAGCAAGTGTTTCTATTACAATATTTGAACAAAAAAAAGAACAGTTGTATTGTTTGATAATAATCACTAAATAGGCCTTTTATAAGAATTAAGTCATGGAATTTCAAGAATGTAGAATGATCATAATACTGCAAGATGAAACGAGATACATTTTGAGAAAATTTTCAAAATTAAATTAAACTTTTGATTTCAAAACTCTTGATATAGTCTGTATTCGAGACTAAATTCTTTTTTTTTTTTTTTACTTTATTCTTTAAATGTTTTCTTATTATTTAAACAAAACTAAGATGCCATCATATGATATATACATTTTATGGAAATAAATAAATAGATTATCTATTACAGTTTTTGTTAATATTCTGAATTAGATTTTTATTTTCTATTGTTTAAAAAAAAAAAAAGTTTATTTAATAGTTTTTGTTTATTTAGTTTTAATTATTTTAGTACTTGAAATGAAAATGAGAAATGCCCCTTAAAGGGATCATATGATGCGATTTAAATTTTTCCTTTCTCTTTGGAGTGTTACAAGCTCTTGGTGCATAAAGAAGATCTGTAAAGTTGCAAGGACTAAAGTCTCAAATCCAAAATAATTTGTTTTTTGAACCTTAAACCGCATAAACACATTTCATTACACCAAATACACAAAATAATGTTCTTTTTAACAACATCATATGACCCCTTTAAATCAACTAGCTGAATAGAAATGTTAATGTCATATTACAACTATTTTTATAATTCGTTTTTTTTTTCAGTTAATCATTCTTTTATGGTTTTAGTTTCAGTTAACTGTTTTGTTGCAGTGTTCACGACTGTTCAAATAAAAAAATGTTTTATATAATTTTATATTTATATAATAATCATTGGATCTACAGCATATGATACAAATAACAGTTTACTTGATTATCTATTAAAACTAAAAATAAATAAATGCAAACAATGAAAGTTTTTTGTTTTTTGTTTTTATTTACCATGTTAGAAAAGGACAACAATGTAAGTTTTCTTATGTTGCATCATTATAGTTTCATGTTTAAATTGAAATCCAGTGTAAACAAGATCTAGCTGTTGTTCTATTTGAAAGAGCTGTTTGTATTTGTCTGAAACAACATGATGGTGAGTAAATAATGATGACATTTTTATTCTTAGATGAACTATTCCTAAAAAACACTTTAACGCTTTAAGGGCAGGTCCCGGTGTTTAATCACTGCGTTCGATGGAGCCGTGAGTTAGCGGTAAACAACATCTGCGCGTTAGCAGTCGGCTCATTCTGCTGCGGTCTTTCACAGAGAGCTATTTCTACAGCATCTGCCAGCTCTTACCCTTAACTTCACCCTCCGACCCTCCACAGAGCTCCCAGAATGCATTTCTCACTCGCACCTGGAGTGTTTGGAAAAGCACATTAGGAAGTGTGGAGTTTTATTGTTTAATTTCAGCTTGAGCGTCCCTGGAGAGAACTTCACATCATGATTAGAAAACAACTCTGAGAAATGTGTAACAGGAACGTAGACGGCAATTTCTCAGGCGGCCCGGTCCTCCGATCTCATTTACTAATGTCACTCCTGACTACACTGTGTGCAGCTCAGACAATTAGGCTGCTTGAATATTGAACCGTGAAGAAGACTTGTGTTTGTGGTTGCTGTGTGCACACGTGCAGGCTCTGTGGCTTGAGCATAGCAGTTTATTTGCATTAGAGCTGATGCTGAACGCTGGAAATACATTGATTTCAATGGGGATGGTGCATGCAAGGGTTTCTGAAAGTGATGTTGTGTCATGCAAATAAAAGTTGGTCTTGTTTCTCCAAAACAAAAACAAAAAACAATATAGTTTGTGAATAAGCCACACATTTTTAGTTTGATATCTAAATTAGTGATTTTAGTCGCACCAAAGTTGTTGTTTTCTTATAACATGAGCATGCTAATAGCTCACTTCAGCTGTTAGGTGCAAGAGGCTGTGCTAATGCTGCATTTTCAGTATAATCAGAGCTGAAGGGCATTGTTAGGCACAGAGTACAGCGGATGATTATTGCTTTTAGATAAGAAGTTACTGCACTAAAAAAGTCTATCTATCTATCTATCTATCTATCTATCTATCTATCTATCATCATTTTAATGTAATGGACTTTTACATTTAATTTATTGAACTCTATCTATCTATCTATCTATCTATCTATCTATCTATCTATCATCATTTTAATGTAATGGACTTTTACATTTAATTTATTTTTAACTTTATTTGTTTTGTTTTTTTTTTAAATAAACTATTTAACTATATATATATATATATATATAGAGAGAGAGAGAGAGAGAGAGAGAGAGAATTTTAAATATAATTAATTTTAATACAATAAAAATAATTTAATTGAAAGAATTATTAAATTTAAAAAAATGTTAAATTTAATGTTTTTTTATTTTTTTATTTTAAATTTAAAAAGTACCGGTATATATTTTTTATTTTTGTGTGTGTGTGTATAGAGAGAAAGAGAGAAATGTAAATATAATTAACACATTTAATACAATACAAATATTTAATTTAAAATTAATTTATTTAATAACATTTTAAATGTAATTAATTTGTTATTTTAAATTAAAAAGTATATTTTTTATTGTGTGTGTGTGTATAAATAAATTATATATATATATGTGTGTGTGTGTGTGTATATATATATATATATATATACACACATACACAGACACACACATACACACACACACACATTTCTGCTGTCTTTTAGTTGACTCTGCATATGAAGCTTATAAATATTTCCACATATCACTTTTATTTTACCAGTGTCTACAATATGTGTCCATCAGAGTGTTTTCTGCACGTGTAAGTGCTCAAACACACACACACACACACACACACAGACACAGACACAGACACAGAGCTCCCCCGTAGTTCGCACCCTGGTTTCCTCCAGACACTCGGGCTGGTGTTACCTTGTGTTATCTGCGATAAGATGATCTGCTCTCTGTCCAGCGCCGCTCCGTCATTAGACACTTGTCAAAGACACAACCATTTCATTGCTTTTTCATGTTTTCTTCTGCCTTCCATCCCTTAACCTCCCTTTTTGAAGTCTTTTAGATATTCGTTTTTGGAAATGAAGTCAAAATGTGAAGTATAGGGAATAGAGGAATGATCAGGTTCAGTGCAAGTTAAACACTATTGAAAGAATTTGTGGCATTATGTTGATTACCAAGTACCTTGAGTTGGTTTGTTCATTCCTTCATTCATTCATTATTCATTACATTTTTTTAATTTAATTATTTGATTATAATTTTATTTTATTTTAGTATGCACAAAAATGTAAGTAGAATTATCCAGATTCAATGCAAGTTAAACTCTATTGACATAATGTTGATTACCATGTACCATTCATTCATTCATTCATTCATTCGTTATTTTATTTATAGTATGCACTTGAAATGTAAGTGAATGTGTACCCACATTCTGGAAGGTTTAAAAGCACACATGCAAAGCTGTTATTGTTGTTAAAGCAACAAAGTATCTTTATATATATATATATAACCAGAGCTATTTTATTATCAGTACTTTTGTATAGTTAATGAAAACGGACAACAGAGAGCTAGTCTCATCCCAATATGTATTCCAAACACGTGTTTTTTTTTGTTTTTTTTAAGTGTCTTGCGATAACTGAGATTTTATTTTATTTTGTTATTGCCTTTGGTAATCTAGATTATGCCTATGATTATGTATTTATTATATTGTACATATTTAATATATGTTTTTAATAAAATTTTAATATTATTATTAATATATATATTTTTTTTACTAAGTCAAGTTATTGCATGTGGTAATCTTCATTATGCCACAATATATTTTATTTTATTTTATAGTTAAATTGTTGCATGTGGTAATCTCCATTATGCCACATTGTTTATTATTATTTTTTATTTCATTTTATTTTTATTAATACCGTATTTAATTTATTTTTCAAAAAGTCAAATTATTGCCTGTTGTAATTTAAATTATGCCACATATTCTATTATTATTTAGTTTTAATTTTTACTTGCTTTATTTTTTGCTAAGCATCAAATTATTGTCTGTAGTAACCTACATTATGCCACCAGTGCTAAAAAAAAAAAGCTTAACACGTTTAACCCGGAACATTCCTTTAAATAATGCTTCAGCAGTCACCCAGGCTGTGATTTGTTTCAGCTGCATTAACATGCATTTGTTTTTGTGTTTGTGTCTCCAGGCGTCTGGTTGTGACAGCACAGAGATCCCAGACGAGGTGAAGTTGATTGGCTTCGCCCAGCTGAGCGTCACCTGATAGCATCTCATTACCACAGCAGAAGGAGAGCATTCAAAACTCCCACCTCCTGCTCCCAGTCAGGTTTTCCTTTTCCTCCCGAATCACCTGCCCTCTTCCGTGAATGTTTGCACCTGTTCAATCAAACGCAGCGCTCTTATTCAAACACACACTCGCCCTCGTTCCCAGACGCTGTTTACCTTTCACCAAAACATTCCAGCAGCCATTTCCCAGAATTCAAAGCAGGAGCCCATCATCTCAGGAGGCAATAGCTAGTGAAACAAAAAGTTTTTATTTTATTTTAATTATTATTATAATTATCATTGTTATTGTGTTAGCTCTTACCGTATTGTTATTATTGAAAAAAATGCCTTTTATTTCTCACAAGAGTAGCGCAGATCGTACACCACAAAACTGAAGTGGAGACGTCTCCCTCTGAATGTAAAAAGCACATTTTCATTCTGAATGTTAATGCATTCGAACTGTATTGTACATAGACCTTCTGATGTCTAAAATAAGGGAATATTTTGTTGTTTTAGTTCCAGCTCAAAGAGTACGAGAGCAGAGAGCCGGATGCTGCCGTGTGCAAACGTACTGCTTTCTTTTTTCGGGACAGTGTTGATGCTTCGACGCTAGAGGTGCCTTGTTTTTTTTAATCCGTGCCTAAGAAGCGTAGGTTACAGGCTTTAAGCCGTTTGGCTGACGCTGAGCGGGAAGAACGCTGCTCGTCGTCAGATTCGCTCATAGTATTCTCAGCTGATGCACTTTGATTTCATGCGGTGCGATGTACGTGCACCTGCGACGCTTACACCCTAACTCTCCACGTTTAACCCGTTAAAGCTGACAAACAAGGTCATCGCTACCACAACACACACCTTAATCCTGATGTATCGTGTTCACAAGACGAGCGATGGTCACACGGCATTTTCACAGCACTCGAATGTGTCTGTTTTTGAGCCCAGAATGCATCTGTCTATCAGCGAACGTGAAGTATTTCGTAAAGGAATCCAAATGTCTACTACTGAATGACAGAAAAGCCATCTGTGTGTCCAAAACCAGTATAGTAGCTTGAATTAAATGATTCTGTTCTCAGCCCAAATGTAAATAAATACTAAATACTTTATTATTATTAAGTTGAATTGTGTTTTCTATATACCATGCGTGTTCCCTCCCTTACTATTCAGCCCTTCTGTAATCAGCAAAGATATAAACGTTCTGCGAAGGTACAACAAATAAAACTGAATTGCTACTATTGAACCGGAGCATGGCTGTGTTTTGGAAGAAAAGGGATCCTAACTGTATAATGTGATTATGATATTATCTTTTGCCTGCCTCTGTGTGTTTTTTTTAATACAGTAATTGCTATAATTTACCACCGGCAAACCCTCAGAAAGGGATTTCATTACAGTGTTTTAGTATCTAATCGTCTCCTCATGAAATGGGGAGAAAAACGATCAGATTTATGTGAGATGTGGAGCGTTTATGTGAGCACTTGAACTAGTGGGATGGGGAATTTATCAAATATCTGAAATGATTTTGCAAAACTGATTTTAATGTGATATTTTATTTTATATATTTTGCATGAAAAGGACTAATTATTTGTACTTGTTTTAAGAAAAAAAAAACATTTCAGAAATATTTAACTTGATTTTAATTGCATTTTTCTACAGTAGCCTAAAATATCAACTTTTTAACCTATTGTAGAGCAAGTGCATCAATATATGTGCATCCTAATATATTTATGTTTATCTTATATTTATCTTCTTAGCCTTGAGATATATATATATATCTATATATATCTATATATATATATAGATATATATATACATATATATGAACACCTTTAAAGGGTCATGAACTGAGAAATCAAATTTCCCTTGATCTTTTGACTTAACAGATCAATGTATAAAAGCATCCTGTAAGTTTCAAAACTCAAAACTTTTTTGTTAGTTTAAAAATTGATGTATAGTTTTTTAGCATATGACAATATTTGCCGAGATACAACTATTTGAAAATCTGGAATCTGAGGGTGCAAAAAAATCTTTTTTAGCCTTTAAAGCCTTTAAAGTTGTCCAAATGAAGTTCTTAGCAATCCATATTATTAATCAAAAATTACGTTTTGATATATTTACAGTGGGAAATTTACAAAATATCTTCATGGAACATGATCTTTACTTAATATCCTAATGATTTTTGGCAATAAAAGAAAAATCTATAATTTTGACCCATACAATGTTTTTTTTGGCTATTGCTACAAATATACCCCAGCGACTTATGACTGGTTTTGTGCTCCAGGGTCACATATATATATATATATATACACACACACACACACACACACACACACAATGTGCTTATAGACATTAAATTGCAGCATTGGTTATGGTCTATGGTTTTTGCATGTTTCGTTTATTATTTTGTACTCATGGAAAGAACCAAAATATTTAAAGTAGTTTTTTTTTAAAATCTTTTCTTTCCAATTTACTTTTCTTTTTTCAAATGTTTTATTTTCCCCAATAAAAAAAAGAAAAGAAATAAAAGTTATTTACTTGCTGTCCATCATGTTGTAGAAGGGGGTTCAGATGATGTCACTTCTTGGGTAACATTTTATTTTATTTTTATTGTAACAGAAGCTCTTATAGACAGAGAAGATCAGGATTTTGGATGAAAATGTGGGACATCTTTTTTTTTTGCTTTTTTTCCCTTCGTTTTTTAAAAATTGCACATTTTTATAAAATAGGCTATATAATAAAATGAATGTCAGGTATGTCAAGATGTTGTGCGATTTTAATTGCTGGATCAGACCTCAGAGCTGGGACTGGCCAAAGGCACTTTTTAAGGTAATGGGACACCAAAGTCTTCCACTATTCAAGTTAAGTGCCATTTCCTGACACTGTATTCACCCAGGATGCTGATTGCTTTTAATCCCTCCCAGACAACAGCCTCCTGGAAGGCATCCCATAATAGACACCCATTCCTGATTGAAAATCGGTTGCTGTAAAGCACTGGCTCCATTATGACATGTACAACAACGCCACAGACTGTCGTTATTTGTCATGGGTGCTGACGGAGTTTGGCAAGGCCGGCGTTTGGCACGTCTCGAGCTGCCTGACCAGTCTGCCAAGTGCCACTACTGTGGGCATTTGGCAGGACAAGTGACTGGCAAAATCCTCCAAGGATGGAGAAGGTGGGTCGGACATTTCGCTGGATCTCCACAGCACATTTTATTACAACATATTAGCATTTATTGAACATAATTGTCTATTATCATATTGTTGCTGCCGTTTTTTAATTTTACGTTTGGTTAAAGGGGTTTTATGCACTTGTGTTGCAGTCCATTACTGTACATTGAGTTTGGGATTGGTACGTTTTTGAAAAACGTCTCTGATGCTCACTGAGGCTGCATTTATTTGATGAAAAATACAATTTAAAACAGCAATATTGTGAAATATTATTAAAATTTAAAATAACCATTTTCTATGTGAATATCTTTTAAAATGTAATTTATTCCTGTGACGAAAAGGCTGAATTTTCAGCACCATCGTCTTCGGTGTCACATGATCCTCCACATGATCAAATGTTCATTTGCTACATTGGTGCATTTTTCAGGATTATTAGAGGAATAGAAAGTTTAAAATAACAGCATTTATTTGAAATCTTTTGTAACGTTATAAATGTCTTTGCTTTCATTAATTTATTGTGGGCCGGCTGAATACGATTATTTATTAACTCTTTGACTTGAGATGACCTTGAGTAAAATCTTTTATTATCCCTTTAGAATCTTGAATATAAATGAGCAAAACATACAAACAAAAAGATCAACGCTTCCAGAAAAAGAACACTGTTATATATTTTTATGTAAAAATACACAGTATAATACAATAGTACCCATGGGGAATAATATATTCATTTTTGTTTTCACAGTTAAATGTCACGCGTCCCCTCAATTACTCCAGCCAATTTAAAAAGAAAAAAATGAAACGCATGTGAATCACATTTTGGCCTCAATGAAATCAAATTCTAGAGAAGAAGAAAAAAAAATCACTTTCAAGTTTTTTTTTTTTTTTTTCATGTTTCTCCCCTTCATTATATTCCACATTTACACTGCGTTCCTTATGCAGCATTTCTACAGGTTTGACCATGTACAGTAAATACTAACTAAATGACACTTGATACCAAGCGTTAATGACTTTAGATATACAGATTTACAGTATAACTACAAACATGAGCTGTTCTGAAGCAATGATGTTCAACTTCTAGGCGTAAGAAAATTTTTTTTATACTTATAAATAAGGAGCTATACATCGCCGTTATCTTTTTCAAGAAAAGACGTTTCTGAACGTGTAAACAGACAATGCAGGCGCTTCCACATACAGTAAACAAAGCAATGGTACTTTTGTTTACACAAAAGTTAATAATGTGCAAAGAAAACTCAACGATCAATGATGCATCCGAACCAAAAGAAACTCCTTCACTAGTTTTAGACAGGCTGGCACGGTTATAATATTAACACGAATAGCACATTCCCCAACCGGTTCTCAAACGATGGGCTCGGCATGTTTCGAAATTGTTGACATGCCCCAGAAGGATGTTAGTGTTTCTAAGAAAGAACTACAGTTTGTCCCAAGCCTCTGTGTCGCATCTGTGCATCATGGGGATTTAAAAAAGGGCACAAATACACATCCTCAGGCAGCTCCCACTAACACTTGAGATGCTTCTTGCTGGTCATGTCGTTCCAGATACGATGCATCTCCTCAGGGGAGATCTGGTGTACGGTAATGACTCGACGGTACCTGCAAAGACTGTAGGCCATTTTCCAGTGATTGAAGCCACTGTTCTGATACGGGTGAATGGCCAGCTTCCTCAAACACACCCCGACGTAAACGTCCTCCAGATGCAAGAGTCTGGTGTGCAAGGACGTCTTGTAGATGAGTTCCGCAACGTCCGCCGAGAACACGTACCCAGTGCCGGAGCAAAACGGCGGGTACTTGCTCTCGGGGTAAAGGTCTCTGGGCATGTACCACTTGCTGCGCATGTCCCGAATGGGTCCGCCGTTGATGACGTATCCCGTGAAGTACCTCCGTCGAGGTTTGGTGGCCGGCTTCAAGAGTTTATGCACCAAGTTGTCCATGTTCACGAAGATATCGCTGTCCGTTTTCATCACGTACTTGGCTTGGTTGCAGAAAGTGGCCACCCAGCGCATTCCCATCAGTGTTTTGAGCGTGAGATTGTGGTACGAGTCGATGAAGTCCTCGACCACGATGTCGTGAAAGATCTCGCTCTCTTGCTCCACCATCTGGTTGAGCACTGCGTCCGTGCTGCGTCCCAGAAGAAAGAGCGTAATGATGCGAAGGTCGATGAAGGTGCTTTCATCGCCCCATGTTTCCCTGATGGCTTGGCGGGCGTCGAACTCTTTGTGCGTGGTCGTGATGAGGATGACGAGGAAGGGCACGTTGGTTTCGCATTTCTTGGGCTCGTTGATGATGAAATCGAAGGCGTGGGGGTTCAGCGGACGCGTCCGGATGTTGCCGAAGGTTGTGGTGGCGTTGCTCTTGTGCGCTTTCGCCGTTTTACGCGCCGGGACGGACAGTTGGCTCACATAGGACGACGTGGGACGGGATATACTTAGGTACCACAAAGCGCTGGCCCAGCAAACGACCGTCAACACGTAGAGGCATGACACTTTTGAAGGCATTGTGATGCATTTACGTGCACTTGGAGCTGTAGATCTCGAACGGCCTCGCAGCCATTAGCGATGGTACCTCAGGCAGAAATGCAGAACGAAGCGGCATTTGTATGCAGCCTGACGTCAACTGTCAGAGATGTCTTCTCTTCGTATGAAATCGGTGGGATTTTGTAGCAGGGTTTCGAATGCTCCCTGACACTCTTCCGCATGTTCCACTGAAATCTGAAAAACAAAACAGCAACAGTTGTTTTCAACTAGAGGCCAACTGACAAGTGGGTTCCTCAACTGAAGGACCATATGATGTGAAAGATAGAATTTTTCAGTTACATATATGCATTTGGCAGATGCTTTCAGCCAAAGCGACTTACAATGCATTCATTGCAATTTTTTTAATCAGTTTTGCTTTCACGGGGAACTGAACCCATGACTTTACTGTTGCAAGCGCCATGCTCTACTGTATGAGCTACAATATGGTTTCATGACAACAAATCAAATATGCACAGAAATATGCTATTAACCCTTATTTTAGATGATATTTATTCAAATTTACAAAACTGTGGG